GCCTTATTTAAAAAACAGTTGGGACGAGGTGGCCGAGCGGTCTAACGTGTCGGCTGTGGCTCAGCCGGGCCGGGTTCGATCTTCGACCATCGGGCGACATTTTTCTCCGGGCAAGTCACGGTGTCCGGAGAACAAGTGCCGCCATCCCCCACTCCGGGGCATGGCAGAAACCTTACGGGTACCTCAATAGAARTTCTGTCAAATATGCGTCCAAACTAAGCCTTCGTTCCTACTCCCGGACATAGCGCCATACGAAAAAAAAAATTTGAAAAACAGAAGTTTCGTTTCACCATCGGGCACCCTTAAGTAATACAAAAATTTGAAAATATGGACTTAAAGTATATTAGAAATTCTAAAAATCAGATTTTAAATAACTTCATTATTGAAGAAAAAAGGTGATGAGCATGCTTGGTAAACCACCCTATATAACGATTCCACCCTGATGTATTATTGCGCTATACCATTATAAATAATGTTTCTTGGTGTGAATTCTTTAGAATATTTATTTATTATACATCCTTAATATCCATACATATCAATGTAGGTATAATATATATTATAATGTATTTATATTTTACCTTTTTTTATTCAMAAATATTAATTATGTTATATTATAATATGTAAGTACCTACATCACACATATTTTTTAATATTCAAAATACCTGTTACCATTTTTTTTTTTTACCGTAAGACTTTCTTTACAATAATAATAACCATGTTTTATACAATCAATAACATACGATTTTTTTTTTATAGTTTATTAATAGACTATGTCATAACTAGTAAAGTAATAAGCATTTCAATGTTTTTTTTACCTTTTTTCAATTAAAAATTTGAATTAAATATTATAATACAATTTTTCTTCCAATAATACCAAACATTTTTTTTTTTTTTAGAAGGATAAGAATGTTAATATCTTATAACTATATAACTATAAACGTCAATACATCTGAGTAATATAATTCAATTCTCAACTTAAAAAATGTTTATTGCAAATCTGAATCAACGTTTTACAATTCACATATTTTTCAATAAAATACACTTATTTCATACAGATAATCATTTTATGTGGTGCAAATTCATTTTACTCAATTAATAAATGTATCTACTGATTAAATTATGTGCAGGCAGGCTTTCTTTGCACGACAATATTTTAAGTCTCAGATATTAAACCATGACATTTTAATACAAGGTTACAAATGAATCGTATTATTATACTTTATTATTTACCACCATATCTAATAGGTGTCGAAGACGTTATTTCTTGATTTTTTTTGCATGCAATTAACATTATAAACAATTAACATTTAAAAAAAAAAAACAAATACAACTCAGAATCTTTTGCAATGATTTCATTATTATTATTCTTAAACTGCATATCTGAATTATTCCAAAATTGTTACAAATAATCAGTGCTGCAGTGGAGGGTATAATTTCTGGTTATTTCTAATAAACGCGGTATACCTTTTGATTAAGGTCGTATACTCTCTGTTGTAGTGAAATTTCCAAATAATAAAAAGATAAAAGTCATTA